TTTATTTTAGTTTAATTATTTTTATTGAATAATAATGAGCTTTATTTTAGTTTCGCGAAATCGTGAGCTTTAATTTATGGTATATGCGCATATGCGCTTTAATTTAATTATTTTTATTGAATAATTATTTTAGTTTCGCGAAAATCATGAACTTTAATTTAAGGTATATGCATTAAGCACTTTAATTTAATTATTTTTATTGTATAATCATGAGCTCTATTTTAGTTTCGCGAAAATCATGAGCTTTAATTTAAGGTATATGCATAAGCACTTTAATTTAATTCTTTTTATTGAGCTTTATTTTAGTTACTCAAAGATCACGAGCTTTAATTTAAGACATCACATTTTATGTATAATCATGAGCTTAATTTTAATTTAATTAATTTATTGACTTTATTTTAATTTCGCGAAAATCATAAGCTTTAATTTAAGGTATATCGCATATGCGCTTTAATTTAATTATTTTTATTGTATATCATGAGCTTTATATTAGTTTTTCACGAAAATGATGAGCTTAATTTAAGGTATATGCACTTTTAATTTAATTATTTTTATTGTATAATCATGAGCTTAATTTTAATTTAATTATTTTTATTGAGCTTTATTTTAAAATCATGAGCTTTAATTTAAGACATCACATTTAATTATTTTTATTGTATAATCATGAGCTTAATTTTAATTTAATTATTTTTATTGAACTTTATTTTAGTTTCTCGAAAATCGTGAGCTTTAATTTATGGTATATGCACATTGCGCTTTAATTTAATAATTTTATTGTATAATCATGAACTTAATTTTAATTTAATTATTTTATGAATAATAATGAGCTTTATTTTAGTTACGCAAAAATCATGAGCTTTAATTTAAGGTATATCACATATGCACTTTAATTTAATTATTTTTATTGAATAATAATGAACTTTATTTTAATTTCGCGAAAATCGTGAGCTTTAATTTAAGGTATATGCGCTTTAATCTTAATTATTTTTATTGTATAATCATGAGCTTTATTTTAGTTTAATTATTTTTATTGAATAATAATGAGCTTTATTTTAGTTTCGCGAAATCGTGAGCTTTAATTTAAGGTATATGCATAAGCACTTTAATTTAATTCTTTTTATTGAGCTTTATTTTAGTTATTCAAAAATCATGAGCTTTAATTTAAGACATCAATTTTATGTATAATTATGAGCTTAATTTTAATTTAATTAATTTTATTAACTTTATTTTAGTTTCGCGAAAATCATAAGCTTTAATTTAAGGTATATCGCACATGCGCTTTAAATTAATTATTTTTATTGTATAATCATGAGTTTTATTTTAGTTTCGCATATGTGTTTTAATTTAATTATTTTTATTGTATAATCATGAGCTTAATTTTAATTTAATTATTTTTATCGAATAATAATAAGCTTTATTTTAGTTACACAAAAAATGTATATATAATATTTAATATTATTTGATATTTAATAAATATTTAATAAACATTTAAAACATTTTTAGAATATATTTAAACTATAATTAATAAATATTTAAAATATATTTAAAACATATTTAAAACATATTTAATATTTTTAGTTCAAACTATTTTATTTAATAATATTTTAAGTATATATTGCCTTTTTAAAATATACTTAAAATGGAAAGAATTAAGTATATTTTAAATACATTTTAAATATATTTTAACAGATTTTAAATAGATTTTAATGGATTTTAAATACATTTTAAGTACATTTTAAGAAATTTAAATATATTATTTTTTTCCATTGTTTAATACTTAATTTATATTTATTTTATTAATAAAATATACTTAAAATATACTTAAAATTAAATACATTTTAAGTATATTTTAAGTATATTTTAAGTATTCATATTTCTTATAGGGATGACCCTACAAGAACAAGTGTATGAAACACGGAACATATCATTTCTGGCATATATGGATGATACGGTATAGATTACACAAAACAAACAACAAATGCAAGAAATTTTAGAAATAGTCCAAGAGTTTTTTGACCTCAATAAAATAAATGTGAACGCATTCAAATCAGAACTAATCCTCGTAAATGGACACAAAGAAGACTATAAGAATGGAATCGATTTCATGAAAAATCAAATAATCCCAAAGAAATCCACTGAAGCAGTTCGATATCTAGGGGTTTGGATACAAGAAAATGGAAAAAAAATATATCAAAAAAAATCTAATAAAAGAAAAAGTTTTTAGGACCACATCCATAACGAATAGAAAACAACTCACTGATAAACAAAGTCGTTACATCCTGAATCATGTTCTATTTCCTCAAATAGAATACTTAATGCAAGATTTGGTACATACTGAAAAAGACCTTGAGAAACTTAATGCTAAAATACGATCTTGTTTCCATCACTCTTGTGGACATTCAGCTAAATTACCTACTAGTATACTATATTCACCATTAGGATACAAATTATTTAACTTACACGATAGACAACTACAAGTACATGCAACAGAAATAATAAATAGAATAAACAAGAAGGACTTAACTGGTTGAACAACTAAAGTACGAATTCAAAAGTTACAAGATTATATGTGGACCACACATCCGATATGGGAAAAAGAAACAATATTAAAGTTCAAAGCGAGAAACTTTAATCTAACTGGGGAGATCATGAAATTACTGGCAGTAAATAATATTGAAATACAAATCAATAATGAACTAGAATTTTCCGTCCTGGTTAGAGGGGGAAACTTAGATATTGAATTATTTATGAACTCAGAACTATGGTATCACAAACATTGAGATAGTTTAAAAAAATATAGAGTAATGTATATTGAACAATTACTAAATGCAGATATGACAAAAATATTGAAATTAAAACAGATCCATTAATATGATATTCCAAAACACAATACAACCTGGTACATAGACCTCAGCAACAAAATAGAACAAAAATAGGAGTATATACAAAACTCATCAAATGTAAATCCTATTAACAGACTAACTTTAATAGACAAATCTTCAAATCTAAAGGAGAAAATAATAACTACAAATCACCCGCAAGGACCTATCATGGGAAAAATGGGTACCATTGAAATCTATCAAAAAAATAATCAAATTCGGAGGTACATCAAAGTATATCAAAAAAAATAACCCCTGATCTATCAAAAATGCATTTAGTTATCTTACCCAGTATTGCCATAGAAATTTCACCCCCCCACGTACTAAATTCATGGGTAAAGGTTAGTGTTTATCATGGGTAGTGTACTTCTCTCCGTGTGTCACACCCTTCGAATATCAATTTTCATTAAATATTCTGGGGACTTGGAATTTTTTTACTTACGGAAAACATATTCGTCACCGAATATTCATCACGCTGTAGAAGCAACACGTGAAAAATTTCTGATCGCACGCCGAATAATGGACCAATCAATTTCAAAAATCAAATATCATGTGGGGTGAAAATTTCTATGGCTAAATT